GAAATTACGGTTGTTCCGACGATTTTATAAGAAAAAATTAGACTAGAAATAAACAAACAGATAAGAAAATGAATTTAAATAAAAATCAGCATAAGCTTGCATACATTTTGTAACTACATTAGAAAAAAATCAACTCACTTCCTGCTCAATGATATTTTTTAACTTCTCAGATTCTTTGGAGTTTATATTTTCATAGTCACTTTTAAAGGTAAGTCCTGTCATTTCAATACCCATGCTATCTGTGGAACATGTGGAGTCACCTATGTATATTCAGAAAACAGAAACAAGTGAGATAAAGAATACTAGTTACCACTGTTATGAATGTACTTGTTATTAATTACTTACATCCTATATACTGGACAGCTGCCACAGCTGCCACACTGCCTGCAACACTTCTAGCAGTACAATTGTACACACCAGAATCACTCTTTGGATTGATTGTTAGTCGAGTCTGTGATTCAGTTACCCTGCTTTCTCCTGATGTCTCTAAGATTGTCCAGCTGATTCTTGGTTGCGGTCTTCCTTTAGCAGTGCATTCAAGGGTAACGTTATTGCTCGAAGTTTGTTTACTCTTCGGTGTGTTTGTAAATGATGGCTTTTCTAAAAAATGAATTTAGGAGAAATTGTCTATTTACATGTAGAACATAATTTCCATCAATTTTCTAGATACAGTAAACACCCGAAAATAAGAACCTAATGATTAAGAACCTCTTGGCAGAAATTTGCCATTCTAACAACCTCTTTAGCGAAACATTATCAAGCAGGTTCTTATAATATGGGTTAGAGCTAAATTACAGGATAAACAAACCATAACTTACTCAATTTGAAGATTGCTGAAGATTACTGAATTTATTTACAGTTGTTGAGTTCATTAGTTACTTGTTAAAGTAGTTGAAAGTTGCAATTATACATAATATCATAGTATTACTGGTTGGTTTCTTCTTAGATGTGTGATCATAGTAACATTCTAACAAAAAGCTCAGTTCAAATTTAACTTATCGCAGGTATCTGTTTTGTATTTTCGAAAATGTACTTTTAATAGAGTCAAGATTGTACTAACCATAGACAATCAGTGTCGTCGATTTTGGACCAGGATTGTTTACAACGTAAAGTAAAGTCATTTCGCAGATATACGTATAGTTTCCAGTTTCAACATTGACGGGCGAACCATCGTTATTGTTGCCTTGTCTGGCAACATCTTTGATAGTGAATTCTGCAAAGCCATCTTTGCCTCCCACTACTCCCTTTTCAAAACGCAGCGAGAATAATGAATCATCAGTCTCAATTTCCTCATTGCCAGGGCCACCATATAAATATTTTCCAATTTCTTTTTCTGTGGCAAGTTGCTTTTCCACTTGGAACCTCTTGATGACGAGCCCGGTTATTATTTCTTCATTATTCAGTTTCGTGTTCCTTTGTAATGACCATTTCCATGTCATCGTCGCCGATTTTTTATCCGGGTATATAATTATCGTCTCTGTATCTGGAAAAGCTTTCCAATTGTAAGCACCTAAAGGAAGAAAATGCGTTGTAATTGTAACTAAAGATCCTCACATATAATGAGGCATCATCAAGCAAAGGTCTTCGCAAAGTGAAATTGTAACTTACTTCCAAACGGAAACTCAGTGTAAAATGTCGCTGCAAAGAATAACAACACAGCCACTCTACCAGACATAGTTTTTCCTGTCGACTGTTTTCTATAAACACTTAATATGAACGATCGCAACGACCAAAATGAAACAAATTCGTTCAAGATCTTTGATATTTGCTTCTTTTTTTTCTAGCGTCTACGTTAATAACCGTCATGGTCTAAAGGTTTTATTAAGCGTCATGCTTATATGAAATTTACATAGTATGAGTCAAATCTATANCTGATTTAAGAGATTTAATATCAACAAAGATATTGGATACAACTGCACATTGGCTATAATTAGTTTTTCCGATTAACCCTTTCATCTAATAGCTTACACTTCAGATTGGATAATGGCGGTCTCCACAGGAGGAAATGGACGTGAGGTCTAAAGGTCACATGTGGTACTGAGTCAAACTCATTATACTAGAGATACTATTTTACTGTCGATAAGATTTCGTATCAGGGAGCAGGTTGGGGTGAAATAAATGTTGGGTTGCGGTAATAGAATAATGTAGAGATATTTATTTATTTCACCCCGACCTGCTCCCATGCCAGTCTGGACTTGTAGCTCAGCTGATGAAGCATCGGTAGTACAAATCCGAAGGTCGTGGGTTCGAATCCCAGCGAGGTCGGAAATTAATTTTTCCGAATTTATTCCTAAGGGTCTTTCTCCCCGAATTGCCTCCTTCTAAGCACTATAACTTTCTTTCATTTCTATATCTGTTCTATCATAGTGCCATGCGGTCCTCGTATTCATATCTTTAAATTTCGCTAAGCATTTGATTGATATCTTATAGGTTTTTAATTAAAATTGACTTCTCAGACAATAAAATAAGTGCTTTACAAAATATAAAAATGCCTATAACATAATTAAAGTCGCCTTTTTGTTATTGATAAACAAAGTTTCTTCTTGTTCTAACTAAAATCTTTGCCCACACACGACACATCTAAAGCTACAATCTTGGACAAAATAGTTGAGAAACTTTAATCAAATTTTGACCAAAAACACGATGGTAATCATTGTTTTCGGTACAACGTTGTCTTTCTTCTCCCCCTACTCCCCCCCCCCAAAAAAAAAGAAAAATGTTGTAGGATAAAGGCAAGCATGTCTCATCTCCAGATTACAACATTGATTAGAGGGGGGTGGGAAGAGTCAAAAAAATGACAAATGTAGTTGCAGAAATGGCTATTTTTTGCGGCATTAAAATAATTCTCAACTCTTTTTGTCCAAGATTGTATTTTAGYGTTTTTTGTAAATAACTCCATAAGATAACGTGCTATTTAAAAAAAACTTTCAGTGTAACGGAGAATGGGGAGACGAACTAATTAAGTTAAAAAGAATGCACAATTAACTAAAAATTGCTTCTAAACAACGTAAAATGTATAGTGACGCATGACCATTTAGAATACTTCTGTGTCTTCTGTGTGCAAAGTGATGTTTAAGAAGGCGTTGGAAGAAGGTTTGAAAGCATACACAAAAGTTGTACGATTTTTCTGCTCGTATTACCGTACCTTAACTGCTGGTAAACTTCAAATTAGTATTTACCTACTATAAAAATATTTGCAATCCACAATCCAATTTGTTGAAACAAATAATGAAGAAATACAAAACAAAATGATAGAGTTTTTCAGGTTGTGGCATGGATCACACCGGTACAAGTGGGCAGGGGGTCAATCGCTCCTTCGTATTGTTACATCGTTATTAAGATAAAGTATTGATGTTTATAGAGTGCAAACGCAAAAAATATGAAAAACAGGGCCGTGTACTATACTGTGTACCTGAAATCTCAAGATTTGGAATCGTATCCA